AAATGCCGAAAATTCAATCACTGATGTGCCTCGCACTTAGCTACAACTAAATTCATGTATTGAGCCTGCAAGGTAGCGGTCAAGCATCGAGTTCATGCTGGAGTATCTAAATTTTGAAAAAGAAAGAAACGAGTTGTTAAGCAGTCTAGTAGTGGAATGTTGAGTAGGGTAGATTGAGCGATTCTTCCCTCAATTTCGGAAGGCAAGAAGGGAGTCGAGTGCAGACCACACACCACAAGTGACGACGGCCAAGAAAAAAGCCACTTTTCTCCTTGGCCGTCGTCGCTTATGGTGTGTGGTCTGCACTCGACGCTCTTCTTGTTTTTTTGAAACAGAGGGTACATGTGCATAACCGATTGGTTTTTCTGTACGAACATTGAGTTTGAGATAAATGCCAGCTTAGCTAATTTCACCTATGTCATCTAGATACCCAGCGGAGCTCATTAAGGACATACCTAAGAAGCAGCCCACTCGTCCTGTATATCTCGGGCAGGTGATCACATAGGCTGGTTCCTAAAGGTAATTCACTAACTATTAATCATGCCCTCGGTATAAAATACTACGCCAAATCGTGTGAACTCACATTTGCACGAAATCGCGGAACAAACAGCTTAACTCGAGAAACTATGGCGTCAAGGTGTCCATACACTCCAGAAAGGCTAAACGAGAGGATTCGCTACGTAAAATCAACTGCTCATCTCAAAACTAATATTCTATCTCGTTTTCGAATATCATTTTCCTGCAGCAGTTGATGGCTGGAGTTCCTCAAGGGAACTCGCTTTCACCGTATTGCTTGTTCAGAGTCACCGGCTCCCTCACGGTGCAGGCGGAGAATGTGACTATGGAAGTCGCTGTTTCACAAGTCACCTTGAAGACATATTTTTATAGAGCGTGGGTAGTGGGGTTCTAAGGTGTGAAGGTGGTGGTTACGGCAGTGGAAAATCAAAAATCCTCGGTCGTCCTCTCCCGTCTTGCAGATAGTTTTGAACAGTGCAGCTTTCACGAAACATCGAACCGGGAAGAGGGAAAACGTGGAGGAGAAGAGATCGCAAGCAGGCGGACGAAAGCAGGCACCATGCCATCCACTACTCACACTCCATTGCAGAGCGAAATAGGGTCTGACGGACATTCCCCGACGGAGATCACAAGTGCCTACATGGTCATTGAGCACGTTTGACCACATGGGACCTTACAGCCCACATTTCAGGAAAAATCAAGTTTTTCTTCTGTTTTCTTTCCCAGTTCATTCGACGAGGCTTCTATCCGTTTTGCTTGATAAAATTCTTAAAAATTGTACTGAAGTCCCACGGGCCTGCAACGTTAAACATGTGCGGTCTTAAAGCGGTTAAAGGTACGGGTCGAAATTAGATCCTCAAAGAATCCACCAGTAAATAGCAAACCCCTGATTACAGGGGTGGTGATTGTTGTCGCTTAAAAGTGCGCGACAATGGAGCTAATGCCTTCGCTTGACCGCTGCCATCTCTATCAGTCGCGGCAAACTTGGAGTTTGCGCCCCCTCGCGTACGACGTACTCTCTCTCGCTTTCCCTCCCTGCAGCGTTATGTCTCTCCGTCGTGCCATGGTGGTAAGAGCACATGGAAAGCTGGTGTTTTCTATGAAGTTTTTTGCCTTCCCCTCCATTATCGTTCCTCCTTGCACTTCTTCTCTGATTTCTGTACAAAATGACACCAATTTGACAGCGATGAGGGCTATTTTCGCAAAACGTCCTTATAATCACAACTTCCGAATAACGCAATTGTTAAGAAAAGGTTCGAAGCTGTACAGAACATAAGGTTAAACGATACCCATTTAATACCACAATTCTTGGTGTCCATACATCGTATGAGCCGACGTGAAGTGTGTCCAGGTTATTGTATTTGGAGGGATCCCATGTGATGTGAGGATCGCGCCAAATCTGAGAGTACTTGATCAAGAATGAAATCAAACATGAGCGCCAAGCCATTCAGAACTCTTACTGAAGGGAGGAATAGAAAAATCCTCGCTCTCACTGCAATCATACACGAAGACACTCACCATGCAGTAACGACCGGAGATCGACATCACCTGCTCCTTCTCGTTAACCGTAACATGGTCCACACTGTGGAAAATGAATTGTACGTCAATCTGCAATTTTTGAGCGCTATTATTAGGAAGCCGCTTGTGAAAAGTGAACTGAACTAACAAGGGGGCAGGCAAGTGGCACGCTCACCACGCGAGCGGTCCGGGGATCAAATCCTGGGTCGTGAGTCGCCCGGGCCAACCAAGCCTTCCATCCCTCCGGGGTCGGTTAATTGGTACCAGACTTGTCTGCGATTGATCAACGGCAAATACTTTATCTTTATGAAGCGCTAAAGCGCAGCGGTAGCGGTGCGCGCCGACAGACGGGAGGAGGTGAGATTGACTTTTTGGGAGGTTTTGCTTTCGCCCAGAATTGTACGAACATCGTCGCTAACTCTTCCCTCCGAGAACTAAAAAACTCAACATTGATTAAGGTATTTTTTAATAACGTTTCCACAAAAAGCAATGGAGTGAATTCTCCAAGGTAGATCGCGACCTCTTGCCTGGTGGCCCGCATTACTATCGCAACGCTCTAACGCTTAACTACTTTCAGAAAATGTTTCGCAGATTTGGAAAGCAGATCCGAGATATGTCCAAAACCACATGAAGGGGGGGGGGGAAGAGAAAGCAAACCAGCCCTTTTGGCGTTTCTGCTGGGACCGTATGCTGAATGTTGGGGAGGGGATGGGTCCCCGACGGTCGACGGACTACTTCAACTCGGTCCTTAAAACCGCCTCAATTTGATGCTTACCTCAGGACTAAGCCTTAAAGAGAGGTCATCTCCAAGGCTTAGTCCTGGGGTAAGCAAACCAGCCCTTTGGCGGAGCTGCTGCACCACTTCGTCACTCTCTTACCGTACCGACCGAGTTCAAGTAGTCTGTGGACCGTCGGGGACCCTCCCCAACATTCATGCGGGGCACAGCAGAAACGCCAAAAGTGCTGGTTTGCTTTCAACGGGGGGAGGCAATGGGAAAGACTTCTCGCCTCCTCAATCAATTGAATTTAATCACACTTTGCTAAATTTGAAGCATTCTCAACAGAAAATCGATCACTTCAAGAAAAAATAATTTCATGAGAGCCTTCTAAGCAGACGATATCAGATAAATCTGTCACGGAAACATGGTGCATGGGTCCAGCTCAACGAGATCTTCGAGGGATGGTGTACCATTGCGATGACGTCTGAGAAGTGGGTTTCAATGGGGCGCAAAGTAGGAGCTAATGTCTCTAAAAGTCATCCAACAGTTGAATCGATTCACGAAATTATGTAAGAGCTTCAGGCTGAAGCAGTTACGGTAGGCCTCCTTGAGCTTGACGACGATGACAGATGACGTCATATTCTGAAGACGGTGAGGGCAGTGAAGGAGGGCCTGCGTCTACTAGAGGGCATTTTAGGAATATTTTGCTGAAGAACTTCCCTCAACGACGGCAAGACGAAGAGCACGCTGAAGTGGAGCAAGTGGAAGTAGTCCCGCTGCCAGCATTTGTGACAGATGTCCGTGGTACTTTGAACGCGTAGCAGCCCTTTCGGTTTTTCGAATTTTTTACCAAAACAAATGCAATTTTTTTTCTTTTCGTTCTTATCGTGAACGATGGGTCCCAAGCCAGTGAATTATGGGTGAGATAGAATCACGATTTTTCCGAGGGGGATTCCTTTAAGGTGGCATCCATCATGGGTGGTGTTGTCGCCAAAGGGTTGTGATTGCCGAAATTCCCTTTCCGTGCAAATGAAAGAAATTCTAAAGCAGTGAAGACAACGAGAAATTAATCCACCATTCGTGTGAAACATTCTACATTCATTTTTAAGCAAATCAATAGCGTTTTGAAGGAACGATTTACTTCCTAGAATATTCTTTGTAGTGGATTTCCTAGAAATTAATGATCAACACTACGCTACTACTTGTCCGCTACCGTATTTAGCTAATCATAATTGACCAATTACCTGTTCATCGCCGCTTTGTGGAGGAACTCTGTAGTCTACTTTGCTAAGCACGTCCTTCTCTATTTGTCGTGCCCAATTGTGATACGAAATGTTCCGATCTGTAAAGCATCTGTAGAAAAGTTCGAAGTTTATAGCAAAGGCTGCATGAGCCCTTCCCTTCTGATTTCCATGACCCAGATAGGGACGGGTATGAATTACAAGGCTGTTCCATAATCATTTTTAGGTGCAAAAAATAAAAGGATAATGCTTAACACATTATTCTTTTATTTTTAGGTGCAAAAAATAAAAGGATAATGCTTAACACATTTGGATCAATCCCTTTTTGTTATGTGCTAGCTTCCTACTTCTACTTGGGATTGTGGTGCCATTTATGGTCCATACAACCACGTGTGGAGGCCTGTACGTACAATTTGGCGCTTTCCGTTTTTCACGACAATAAGGGTACCACTGATCAGACCCGAAGGATTTTAATGCGGGCTTGGTCCGCCAAAAATTTCTTTTGATCTGAATAAATAATGTTATACCTATTTCAATTATAAAGAAGGATGCGCGATACAGAAGTTAGTCCCTGGACGGTGCGGATGTCAGGCAGCACCCCTGTCAGTTCACTGATTCCTCCAATTTTTCCCTATCAGGAAATAACTGCAGCCTATTCACTGATTGATAGGTAAACCAGAGCTAAATCTAAACTTTCTCAAGGAAATCGTCAAGTCACTCACCTCTTTGCTTACTTTCCTGGTTTTCGTCATCTGGATCGTCGTAGTAGTGGATCTCTTCTTTCTGAGCCGATATAGAAATCAATTTGAGCAAGACGATAATCAGTGCTGGCAGTACAAGCATGTCCCCCGAGCGATGGCGTCTGTTTACGGGCGTGATATTCGACACTGTCAATCCTCGTCATCATTTAGTAAACACCGCATAGAATTGGTGGTCAGGGTAGGTCCACCTGTTTGAATTACTGCCTAGTTAAATATCGAGCTGTAGTATTAGGTTGATTTGAAAGTTCGTGCATATTTTGAATATTTTGAGCCTACTCCATTTAAGTGAATGCATTATTTATCATCAGTGAATACCAATCACTGACTGTGCCTAACGACACAACCGCACAGACTGGCCGCCTATAACCCAGAAATAGCTGGCAAGCTCGAGCTGAAAAAGCCACATGCGGTCCACTATTGAGGGCTTATAGTAATCGTATTATAGAACAAGAAATTAAGTCGGCTCGTGCAGACTGGCCCCGATCCATTAAAAATGATAACAGCATCCCTGACGACGATATGAGCACTGTCCTGAGAACACCGCAGGACCGCCGTCAACAGCAAAGGCGATGAACTTCGAACACCGAGGGTAAAGCGACTACGAGGAGCCCCGGAGAAAATATGGAGGGGCGTTATAAAGAAGGATCTCATTGAACTGAGGGCCGCGACAGGATTTGCCACGGATAGGACGGAGTGGCGACGGCTAACAGGAACAGCGAGCCCTGCGACTGAAGAAGAAGAGGAAGATTTGCTGAGTTGCCTGTAATTGCGTAGGCTGCTAGACAATGCTGATATCTGTACACGAATAGAAGGCGCCTGAAGTCGTAATCGTTGGCAGCAGACGAGTGTACAGGCATCTCCCAAACTGGAAGTAAGATGAAGCATTTGGAATGACGAAAACTCGGACCGATCCTCGAAAATAGGAAAACCCAACATCCTGAGAAAGGTAACAACGTAGCTAATTTTGAAAAGGATCTTTAGCGAAAAAATCCTCCGATACCTTTCCGAAAGCACTATTCTTCAGTTCTACTTACTTTGGGAAACCTACGAAATTGATAGAAAGAGGTTATCCGAAACGTTGCACTGAGAAAACTCGCGGGACAGAAAATGAACAATGACGATCCGAAGGACTGAACATTCTTGCAATATATTTAAACTTTAGCAAAGAAAACCAATTTGCTGTTGGGAATTCTGTGTCCAATCTCGCCGTACCGCTCGAATGAACATAAGGCTTTCGCCCAGAAAAAGGTCTAACAATTGCCGTAAGTTGCTGCAAGGATTAGAATTCAACTTAAAAAAAGAGGATTTGAGATCAAACCGTTGCATTGTTTGAAACGGTAAAATCCCTCAATTCTAACCATGACCTAGATGACACAGTCTTACAAAAATTTCGAGATTACATTGATTTATCGAGGAAACATTCCATGTCGCCTAAATTTGCGCTTTTTGCATAACGAGACAAACCGGGCATAGCACTGGCTCACCACCTTTCCATGTCGGTGACCTGTATTCACATATCCATGCATATATAGGCCCATTCCGATGAGGGGCCTAAAATGTGAAGTCACAGTAGCTGAACAGAGGGAGTCGCAGAGATCATCGCGAAAAGGAGAGTCTTAAAAATTGAAGCCTGCGCAACGACGGTTGACCTGAGCTTGAAATGCCGCTGTTGACGTAGACTATCTACGAAAACATTTTTAAAAGTGAAAGTCAAATACTCTTTGAATGAGAGGAGAACATACCACTTTTAGCCTACCCTGTTAATATTAACAATTTGGTCAAAAATACATGTAATCCTAAAACGGAACTCAAATTAGCCTCAATCTAAAATACACCGCCAAATACCCAAGCCATGTAACATTGAACTTGTTTTGATATCTCCCTTTCCAAACGTACTTTCAAAGGAATTATCATCTCTTGAGTTGAAATTATGTAATTTACCTTTTGTTACCTAGAATTACTCGTAACAGAACTCATTTTCTGTGTTGCCATTATTAGAAAGAACGATTGCAAGAGAAGACAGGGCTTACCGTACAAGCACTTCTCTACCAGGTAGGTGAATCTGAAAAGCCTCACCCATCTAATGACACTGTTCAATTTTTTCTGAGCATTCCCTTGATGACCCTTCTGATGCAGTGTGAAAATTGTGTCGAGGAATGGAGCGTTGGTACAACCCTCTTGTTCCCAGAACCTCTCTCCTCCATCCTTCGTATTCATCTCCTATAAAAAATTTATGGTATATCAGACTGCAAAACGCGAAGGGCGTCACGCGACTCGTTCGTGCTAAAACCCATAACGGACGGCCAGTGTATTTTTCGCGTGCGCCACCATGTGGCGCACGCCGCCCACCCAGGGTAGGGTTTATGTAGGCTTATGTGAACAGCAGGGGTAAGACGGGGCTAAAGTAGGTGTCGGAGTCTCATCATCCGAAAAAAGAGATTTCCGTTGACGACAAGTTCGTAGCCCGCCTTTCCGCTCTAAAACTAGGGTGCAAAGAATGAATGGAAGCTGTAGGTGACATTATCGAAAAATGCGAAACAACAACCCCGAGCAAGGATGTGGCTATATTTAGGGGAAGGGTCTCGGGACGTGCGAACCATGGGTAAGCCACCCATCAAATAGTAAACTTATGTAAATTAAGACAAAATGTATGTAAAATTTATTGTAGGTTTGTCAAAAATCCAGCCGTCCAGGTCCTGGGAAGATATGTTATTCCACATTGCTGAGAGTATATATGGGTATATTAAGATTGCTAGAAACATTCCAAAAACAAAAGAAATAGTCGTGCGCCACCTTGTGGCGCACGCCGTCCATTATGTAAAATCTAAAATTTGATTTGCTCCAAACTTCTCCTCTACCTTTTAAGCATCTTCGTATGGTGTCAGATTCATCTATAAAGATATTGGACGATTACCATGTCTAAATCACAACAGTAATAAATCCCTCGCGCAATCCAATCATACCACCCAGAATATCAAGTTCAGAATACAGGCTACCTCCCCAAAAATGAGTTGCTCAAACGATATTTTCACTGCCTATCGTATGACTCCGAGATTAAATGCCGCAACCCTCTCAGAGATTTAATGCCGCACTCCAAAAAAATCTTGAAAGGCAAGCTCCGAGAATAACCCGGCTAGCAGGAAGGATACCGCGACGGAAGTTGTAGGGTCCGTACCTTCATGTCATGCCAGCTTCGTGGCAAATCACACGAATTAAACGTAAACAACCTTGCAGCTGCAACCAGTGACGCCCGCGTTAGCCACGCTTCCACTCCACCAGCGATTGATTATAAAGAGATAGGTCAAAGCGAGGTATCGAGGAAAAAATCGAAAATATGACACCCATCCCCTTCAGCCAGCGCCGAAGCAGGTCACCCTATGTTGCTACAAGTAGCCACGGGATCGTATTTTGATGAGTTTGCAGAGGGGGGGTCGTAAAAACTTTTTAAAAAGTAGCAACGATAGGACCGACCCCAGGCCGAAGTCCATGAAACGACTCTCCTCAACTCCTCACAAACCAGAGCATGGAAAGTTGCTTGATCTTTTCTGAAAACCTTTCATCAAGAAACCGTGCTCCCACCCACCAACCGTGACAAAGATGCATCAAATAGAACAAGTCAAAGAAGATTACATAAACAGACTCCAAAAAATGGTTGTCATTGTTTTGGCTCAATTTTAACCTAAATATTAGCAAAATTGAATTAGCCCTGATAATTTTACTCTATAATTCTACCCGAAATTCTAAAAACAACATCCAACGCTTTGAACATGACTAATCCGTGGATTTGCCACATATCAGCAAAATAGTCAAATGACATCTCAAAAAAGCTCATGCGCTCGCAAATTTACGAGCGTTCTGAACTTTCTCAGAGACGGTTTTTTAACATATCTGTGCGGCTCCTTGACAACGTACACCAAATGACATGTACTCACCAAGGAACTTGTCTATTCATTACTCTGTGGTATAAAATTTGCCATCCCCTTGTGCGTCGACCTAGACTGGTCATTGGTGTTAACGATGTGGGCGGGACTGCCAAGTGAGAATGGTGTTTGGATTCCTTCTCGTCTCTGAAGCAGACCCCCATATCAAGGAGGAAATTCATCCATGCTGTCCCCCTATTCGGAGTAATCTCATTACCATTGCCTCTGAAATCTTCACTCGACTACTCCATAGTCTCTGTATTTTAACGAAGATCAAACACTCTCTCCAAAAATTTCACACGCAGGGGGAGCTTTTTTTCATTGATTTTAACTCCCTCTAAGGACTTTTTTCACCGGAGAATTGCACTTTACGGCGCTGGCAGAGTGCTTGCGCACAATGGGAAAATCCCTTAAAGGCATGCCCCAGGATCGCACTGGTGTGGCTCTTGCACACGAATGTGAATGTATCGGTGCCAAGTGGGCCGGCAGTGAAGAAAAAAGGAAAAGAATCCGTCGAAAACGCTCAGGTTGAGGGCTCACTCACCTTCCTAATTGGCTGTGCTAAAGGAACGAGAGACTAAGCGCGAAGAGGAGAGTATGGGCGAGAGAGCGCATCAGATGAGAGAGCACCAGACAACGGCCTGATAAGAGAGCTCGTTCGCTGCAGCTCGAGCAGCTTACTTTGCAAGCCCAAGCGTTCTTATCGGTTGGTTTCCCGTGCACGTGAACGCCACATTTGTGATTGTCCCCTAGGGTTCTATACTTCTGACCGAAGAGAAGCGTTCACACGACTCTGCCTGGGTTGTGCCTTTAAGACGAATACCCTTGTAGGGTGAGTGAATCACTGCGATTTTCGCTTAGATTAACAGACCGCAACCGCAGAGCCGATCACGACTTCAAATCCACTCCAGGTCCACATCATTGTCTTCCACGGAAAATAATGGACAGATCCACCTGCCACCTAAGCTCCCAAGCGAAAGCTTTAGCGAACAGCAGAAAGTTTTCCATGAAATCCGTAACTTTGATTGAAAATGCTCGAAATCTTGTGAGAATTCCAAAAAAAAACCTGTGAATGAATGAATTTTTGCGAAAAACTTGCATTCTGATTAAAGGCAAGATTCAGGATCAAAGTATGAGGCGATTCCACTCAAATGTGAAAGTAGGGAAAGGAAGTGGACCGCCAGTGGAGAAAAAAGAAAAAAATCGTGAAATACATGGGAATCACGAGCCTTTTGCTCTACGCTGCGAAGAAAGGGGCAGGGAGATAAGAGATAATGTGAGCGCGGAGAGCGCTAGAGAAGTACGAGTAGAGAGCATAGCAGATCAAGTTAGCGACGCAGACAAGATATCGAGCGGTGGGCGGAGCGTGTCGCAGCAGGTGGAGCGTGTCAAAGTTCTTAGCGCCTAGCGTCTAAATAACGCTTTTCGAAGTAGGGAAGTGACGCGACCTCTACACTTGCGTACCTAGCGCTTCTAGCCACCGTAAAGGCTCATTAAGTGGGTCTGAGCCCGAACTTTGCCTTTAAATCCTACTCCTTCCGGAAAATAAATCGCAGACTCTACTCATTCCTGCTCACCTTAACTCAGGGACCCGGGGCCTAATCCCTTACTCCTAAAAAGAATTTCTCAGCAATAGTTTACTCTGGCGTTCTCTCAACTCATAAACGAATTTCGTTCATATTTTCATCGTAACTGTTATCTTTAACATTTTCCATATGGCCTCAATCTTTTTCTTTGTCCTGGCTTTGATTCTACTTCACTGAAGCTGTAACTTGCTAGTAGAATTCAACTACTAAACCGCATTTTTGCCCTTGAGAGATTCTGTGATGCTAGAATTTCCTCGGGTCAAAAACGGAATCGTTGGGTTAGGGTACTTATCATCCAGAATTTGGCACTATTTACCCCACTCTTCGAAATCTAAGCCGGGTTTTTATCGAAATTTGTACACGGCTAATAATGTGGCTAGAAAGCTGTCTGTGGGGTTAGCTTGATCTGTAGAACATCTGTTCAACGGGAGAACGCCTGGCGCCCGTGCCACGGGTGCCGCCGCCAAAGGTGCCACAACACTTGGGTCACCAAATAAAAAAAAAAAAAACCAAAAAAAAAAAAAAAAAAAAAAAAAAAAAAAAAAGAAAAAAAATGTTTCTAGGACTGTCGTAAGTAGTTAGACAAATAGACTTGTATCCATTGTTTGTGCGAGTGCTGTACGCTACTGGGTTGTGAACTAAGTGATGCGTCGTTCTTGGCAACAGGGGGGGGCGGTATTCATGCTGAATGATTGACGTTCGGTGGTCTGCGGTTAACCCATACGACGGAGTGCGCCAATGGTTGGCGCCATTATTTCTCTTGTTTCTGATGTTGTAGCATCCTTAATATCCCGTACTATAGTCTCGTGTGGTGATAACATATTTCCAGACCGGACGGCTGGACTTTTGCAAACTACAATATTTTTCATTTGTTTAATTTACATAAGTTCCATTGATGGCTGGTCATCATGTTCGCACGTCCGGGCCGTTCCCTAAATAGTTAGCGCTTGCTCGGGCGTTGTGCGATTTTTCGATATATGTCCTGCAAAACTTCATTCTTCTTTGGACTAGTTTTAGGCGGAAACGCGGCTCGAACTTGTCGTCAACTGAATCTCCTTTTAGGGCGTGAGACTCGGCACCTCTTTGCCCGTTTTACTCTTTCTCTAGCTGCCTAACCTACCTGGTTGCTGTGCGCCATGTAGCGCCCGCGAAATACCTGGCGTCTTATGGTGTTAGACTAAGGACTGCCTAGCCAAATCCTCAGTAGTGGAAGACACGTCAATTGAAATCGGGCTCGATTTTGTTGTTGTTTTACTTTTTTTCTGTTTATTACTCTACCTCTCAAGGGGATCGCAGTCATTCTCTGAAGGTCAGTGAGATCAGTGATGACCTTTTTCCTCTTTGGCCAAAACTATTGAGAGTATAGAATGGAAATTCAATTTTCTTAACCTTTTTCTTTAGCAGTCTCTCAATGCTCTGCTCTCACAAGGCTTGGAATTCCGCTCTCACCTGGCTTGCCGGTTCCACGAGGGCTGTCGGTATACTCGTGTCTCGAAGTTCCGGCAAGCTCCTATGACCCCTTTTTGTGGCGCTAAGGGCACCATTGCCGACTGGTGTGGGTGTCTGCCGTAATTCCACTCGTGGTGGCCCGGGCGTTCCTCTGTTTCTGCTATATCACTTCTTAACTATGGACTTTTCTCCCAATACGATGGCTGTTTCCCCTATGATAGCGATTAGATGGTACGACTTCGATCCTCTTTCCAAAAATCCA